GTCTGTCTGTCTGTCTGTCTGTCTGTCTGTCTGTCTGTCTGTCTGTCTATCCATCCATCCATCCATCCATCCATCCATCCATCCATCCATCCATCCATCCCTCCCTCCCTCCCTCCCTCCCTCCCTCCACCCACCCACCCACCCATCCATCCATCCATGTATCATCTATCTGGAATGACCAATTTCTTGTAGCTCCTAAACCATGTCTAAATCTCTCTCTGAAATGACTTGCATCCTCAGGAACCTGTTTGACTAAATGAAAATAGGAATTTGCAATCTCCTGGGTACATTTAGAATTCTGTGTAGATCTTCTAAACAAATTTCTTTCTTGAACTATATTTCCATTACATGTAAATCCTACTGCTACTCATACAAACCTGAATGTTTTGTCCTGTAAACAAAGTCTCAGGTTGAGATAAGGAGTAAAATTCAGGAATTGAGATATAATCCTGGGTCAACACACAGCCTCAAACCTCCTTTTTTTCATCCATACAATAAATATTTTTCCCACCTGTAAAAGGATGATCATTGTCAGGAATGTGTAGAAACCTGCAAGAGCTGGAGCAAGGTAGTTGCCATTTATGTCTGGGATGATAAATAAGGGGTGGGTGAGAAAACTTCCATTCCAAATACTTTGACCTGCATTCAAATACAAAATATTTGAGATAATGAACTCATCATAGCACATGCAGGGAGTTGTGAAGAGAGAGACAACTATGTTATTACCTGGAGGGAGCAGCATTTGGTAGCTGGTATGGATTTCCCCCCTTCTCTTTTTCCTGTCCCTCCTCATTAATCCTCCCCTCCCCCACAAATTCAGAGCAGGACCTTCTGCAGGATGGATCTAACAATATGCACAGAGGAGGGAAGAAATATCCTTTTGCATTTACAGAAATTCACTAATGTAATGTGGTATGTAATCGACAAGGAACTGGTTCATTACTCTGTAATAATTCAATGTGGAAAGATCCTCCCCCGTTTTGTAACAGCTAATTCCACTTCAAGCATTCGGATGTGGCACTAGTTTATAAGCCATTATCTAATAAACAGTTGAAAAACAAACTGTGCTGTTCTAAAGTATACAAAATTGGATTTTGTATGAAATGAAACAGGAGATTATTAATATATATCAACATCCAATTTTTTCATTAGAACGAGTTTCCATTTAAATGAAATACAATCAGTGTGTATTTAAGTGCAACATTAAAGCCTCAGGGAAAGAACACTGAAAAGCAAAAAAATAAAATAAAAATAAAAGTCATTTTCTACCCATCTCCTTATAATGAAATGTATGTCAAAAAGAAATACTTGCAGGGCACTCCTGGAAAGTGTGAGGAAATAGATCAGGACATGTTCCCTAGTTTTAAGGCTTACCAAGATTAAGACTAAACTTATTTACAGTTCGCTTTTCCATTTTTGATCTATTTTCTTTTTCTCCCCGAAAAAGGAAAACATACTTCTTTTATTTTTCTTATATGTACCCATTTCATGTATTCACAACTATGTATACACTTATACTTATTATCTTGTAAACAATTGGCAAATCAAATAAATAAATAAAATAAATAAATACTGCATTCCCACTCTATAAAACTGATCCCAGATTAAACCAAGACTGTAACTTGAACCTGAAGCTCTCATTTTGTTAAAAATGAAAAGAAAAGAAAAATGAACTGCTGCTTAGTCATTTCTAGATAGTTCAGCTCTTTTTGTCTGGCAGATTACAGGCATGCCATGCCAGTTTCCTCAAAGGCTCTCACTATACAAAAGAAGTTAAATGCGAAATCTTACAGTGGAGCGTTTTGCAACTCAGTTGCAGACTGACACTTAGAAATTGGGACACAAGTATAGGAACATTTGTTTCTTCTGCCAAATATTTATTTGTAGAGTCTTGGTGGACTTGTTTTCATTATAATTTGACATCCTTGCAAATCCTGGTCACATTAGGACACAATCTCTGCAATTGCTAAGAGAGCAATCTTTTTGTTTGCTTCTTATTGAAAGTGAGTGGTACCATCTAGGGAATTTACAACAATGAATTATTAATTTTAGCAGTTAACCTTTTCTCTAGATCCAAATTTCTATCCATATTGAATGGGCTTTAGAGCTGCTGTTTCCAAAGTATTTCTCAAAAGCTTATTATGGGCTCCACAGTGAAAAGACTAGCAATGGTAGGCAAAAAAAAATCTTCAAGGCCATTATGACTCTTTCCTTGTAATTTGCAGCCAGAGCCCTAGTCTCATTGAAGAATAGAAAGGAAAAGAAGGAAAGGAGTCCATGCAGATTTTATTCTGCAAGTTATTGCTGACTATAGGGAGAGGTGCTCATCTCTGTTTCAAAGCCATGAGCCAGGGCTGTCCAAAGACTTTTCTGAGGTCATGTGGCCAGCATTACATTGTGGAGCGCTGTTTCCTCCCCACTGAAATGGTACCTATTTATCAATTCGCATTTGCATGTTTTCAAAATGCTAGATGGATGGAAACTAGTCAAAGACGGAGCACATGCAATGCTCAGGTCTCAAACACAGGCTTTCTGCTTTCCAGCCGATAAGCTCAGTGTCTTAACCACTGAGTCATTGTGCCCATGCCTGTCCATTTCCCAATAAAAAGAGTAATAGAAAAAAAAAGTATAATAGCAAAGCTCAAAAGGCCTAGTGCTAGACAACATGAGCACACATCCACACCAAGAATATCCCACAGAATAAATTGTAAACATTAAACAACATTCCAGTATGGACATAGATTTTTCAACCGGAGAAACCAATTTGAAAAGTTTGAAAGCCTATATGATCTCAAGAAAAATTATGCTTTTCAAAATTATTAGAGCAAATTAATGATCCCATTATTCCAAATGATCATGTATTAAGATCCCTTCATTGTTGGTGATAAAATGGTGGTTGGGTTCATATGTCATTGTGAAATCACTTTTTCTTAGCATAGTATATTGGATAAGCCAAACACTGACCACTGACCATATTAATACTTAAATGGTGGTTTGCAAAGCACAATAAATGGCATTAACATCATTTATATTATTAAAAATTAAGCAACCACACTGACTGATCAACATATGCAAATACAGACTTAGATAATTTTAGATGAGATCTCTATGACTCTTCAGAGTTAGAAAAAAAAGCATCTTCCATCAACAAAATGTCTTCCCTAAAATATCCATGCACTAAAGAAGGGGTTTTTAACCTTTTTGAGGTTGGAGAAACTGCTCTAATGATGGAAAATTGGCTGCATTTGAATAAACTGCCCCCTCTTAGTCTCTCACAGGACCCCATCAAGTTCTCATGGAATCCTAGGATCTGAAAGAATACAGTTTGAACATCTGAGCTAAGCATCCTTTAGATTCCCCCCACCCTTTCTCTATAAAAACTTTTCCTTCTTTTTTCTCTCTTTTTCTTATGGCAAAACATTAAAAAAAAGATTTTTAAAATGAGGAATTTTCTAAAGGTCTATAGCACATGGAGGCACAGTGGTGGTGAGATGGGTGGCAAACAAATGATTTCATAATAATAAATAAATAAGGTTTTCAGTTAAAACTGAAATTTATGGGGCATGGGGTGTTATTTTTTTTTGGACATGAATCTAAATATGTAACTCTTAAATATACAGATCTACTTAATGCTCACATGCATCATTCTTTTCTTTCTTTTTTATAAAGTGACCCCTACAGAATAAAAAGTTCTGTAAATTGTTCTATTTTACAATGTGGATTATATTCAGATTAAGTTTAAATTAAACAAATTTTTTGCTAGAAATTGCAATAAGTGTTGTTGCCTGAAGTAAAATATAAGAGAGTGGGCCTCTTCTATTGCATATATACAAGTCAGCTGGACCAGCGATACATCTTTATTCATTTTTAATGTTAAAGATATACCTACAATGGCCAGTAGAAACAATACAGAAATAACAGAATAACAGAGTTGGAAGGGACCTTGTAGGTCATATAGTCCAACCCCCTGCTCAAGCAAGAGACCCTATATCATTTCTGACGAGTGGCTGTCCAGTTTCTTCTTGAAAGCCTCCAAGTGATGAAAGCACCCAAATCACCTCAATGAACAAGAGGAAGAGCTGCAATCAAGCCAATGGTCAGATTAAAAAAAAATCTGAATCTGGGGCCAAAATATAATTTGAATAAGCACTTTAGACATGACCCTCCCTAGTTCTCAAGAAGATAAAGGGAGGAGAGGGAAGGTGCAGTCAGATCCCATTATTTTAACCTTATTATAAATTAGTTAACATTCATACTATTAATGTCTTAATCTGGTCTATCTAGAGATGCTGATCGTAGCAGATCATAACAGAGTTAGTATCTGGCTGCTATTGTTTGCCACTGCTCAGGTTCTTTCTGCATGTGCTATGCAAGAGCCTCTCTTCCCTCTGTCAAAGGGCAGCATTGATCTTCTCATCTGTAGAAAAATCCATCCAAGTTCACCATGTTACAAAAAGACTTTCACAAATAGTAGACTAGGTTTTTACCACTGTTCCATACCTAACGCTCCAATGAGACACATGATGAAGAGCAGTCCCACACAGAAGAATATATCCATGTTCATCTGTTGTTCTATCTTGCTGCGTTTATAACGAGGACCTCTGTTATTCAACATCGCTTTGGTTTCGTGGCCTTCCAGGTGTGCACATGCATAAAGATAAAATTATCTTATGAATATAAAGAACTCGGGGATTACTAGAAACCAAACATTAGATATCTCTAGCCATGCAAGCATACATTTTCATGGTTTTTTTTGTAATGCATGTTTAAAGGATAGCCATGTGCAAGAATATGATTTCCAGATGTTGAGTGCCTTGCAGTTTCAAAGGTTTTGGAAAGAATTATATCTCAAAGAGGATCTATTAATATCTTCTCTGGAGGAAACTCGGAGAAGCAAAATTCCTGCTCAAATTAAGAGATAAATCCTGGAGAAAATAAAGGACGTCTGCAGGTGTGTTGCAAAGGACATACTTTGAAGTCAAAAGATCCTTGATTCAATTTGTGGGCATATAATTCTTGGACACATCAAAGGAAGAAACCTTAAAGAAAGTGAGGGATGGATTGATTCAGAGAAATGGTCCAAAGAAGGAGAGAAGAATGTTCACATTGTGCACAAAGAATAACAAGTTCATGGAAGAGATTACAGATGGATTATACAGAGAACATTATCAAATCCACAAATCCAAAAATGAGTATACTCATCTTTTTAGGTTGGATTCAAGCATTTCCTATTTGGAATAATAAGGCTGAGATTGGTACAAAGACTTCCTCATCTATCTACATATGTAATTTGAACTGCATTCTTGGCAACAGACTTCCAGTGGTAGACTGACATTGCAGAAAGCCAAAAAGATTGCATCAATATATCCTGAATTCCTAAAAAATCTTGGATTTACCGGAAATAAAATAATGGTAAAACTGGGAGTTTTTTTATCTGCAACTGAGAGGGACAGCTGCCAGACAGCACAGATAATTAGGTGAAGCTGTAGTTTGATGGGTTATTATGTTCTTATTGCTGCTCATCAACCTGGATTTATAAAGCTGAAAGGCTTTTTAAAAATATCTTGAAAATAAGTACA